TAGACTTTGTGACTACACGATGTTTCAGAAAAGCTGGAAACAAAATCTCATAACAAAATAAGAATCTCAGGACCAAAAAACCAGAAGAGTTTAACTATTCAATGTCTAAACCACAAAGACAATCTGTGAGTATTTCTTACAAATTTGGAAGACTTAATTTTGAATCCTCAAAACCTAACACAGTGCCTGACCAAGTGATATTTACTAAATCAAAGAAAAACTATCTAATGAATGGTATAAATGATAATCTAGAAGATAGTAATTCACCCTCCTTTAAAACACTATAATCTAAAATACCAGATACACAAAAACTGACATGAAGAGAAAATCTAAGGTGACTCTCTTGAGCAAGAGAGCCGCAAACACATGCCCCATGTGTGACCCTGGGACATTGCGTCAATTCCTCAAATGATGTTCTCTGTCATTAATACATCCCTACTCTCAGCAGCCAGTCACCAGTAGCTGGCCGAACTTTGCCTGTCCATGCTCCACCTGCTCCTACCCCCTATTTTCTAGAATTGTGACAACTCTCCCCAGCAACATGATAGATGATAGGAAATTTTGTTTCTGTAAATTCTGAACATTATAAACAAAGCAAAATTCTTATTTCAGAACCCTCAGGGGTGACTGGCTCAGGACTTTCTCTTCTCTGTAATTTCAGCCATAACCTAACAAACCTGCCCTTCACAAAGTCTAGCCACTTTCCTCACTTAAGGAGCTCGCCCCAGCTTCCTCACAACTGGCACTGCCCTAAAGAAATGGGTTCGCATGCATCCTGATCGCAGCCCATCTGAGAAGACACTCTGACTGCGAATGAACCTAGCCACTGGAAATGAAGCGGAGGTAAGGGCACTTTATGCAAATGAAACGAACACTTTCTACAACTGTAACACCTCAGTTCACAGCTGACTTTACTAGGACACTCAGTAACTTGTGCTCGTATTTTGGTTGCTTCCTTCTGTCTTCAGGCAAAGGTTAAGATTCCTCTGACAATGCTACTAGCTAGGCGACTCTCCAGCACCCTGCTCCTGCCGTGAGGACAGCAACAAGGAAAAGCAGGCACGTACTTCTGGAGACCAGACTCAGACACGTCTGCTAGAAGACGACTGGACCCTGCCCTTCAAACAGACCCACTCCACTGGCACGCCAGGTCAGGCACTCACCTCTCCCATCGCTCTTCCCTCCAGAGCAAGTGCTTGAAAATCATGATTCAGTTCATCCATAGAACGCACCTAGCATTTAGGAGAGAGGAGGGAAATGCTGGTTAAGTCAGTATCTTATGTTTTATAAACTCATTATACATAACTAAAAAAGTTTTCTATGTTCACTTTCAGGTATCAGCAAAGACAACAATGGAAAGACAGAGTGAATATTTGCTTACCTTTAGACATCAGAGTTCGGCAATAACCCCACTTTCTTCCCTCCCATTCCCTGTATCTTCAAAACATGAAAAACATACTATCCAGGAAAAGAAAACTATTACATGAGAATTATGTTATCTATTTTTCATACACTTAAATTTAGTAAGATCAGGACCATAAGATGGTATAATGTTACGTTGCTGTACTCCCATGTAGTTGACCGTGGTTTGAGTCCTGGATCTTGTGGCTTGAAAACTCAGCGTGAGCTGGTCCTGTGTACATGCATGCCCAAAATCCCGAGAGGAGAATGGAGAAGGGATTGCAGCATGGCCATCTCCCCAAGGGGGTGATTACTTACTTTCTGTCTCTCTGGTAAGCACATGCAACACCTTATACCAAAAATTTCTCTAAAAAAAAATAGGGGGCCAGCAAGTGGCATGGTGGTTAAGGCGCTGGACATTCCCACATGGCCGACCATGGTTCAAGTTCTGGGCCTGGTGGCTCGCTTCCTCACTTTCCTTCTCTCTGTGTGTCTTTTTTTTTTTGGAGGTTTTTGCTATAGGGCACGTGTGCTCGCCAGAAAGAGAGAGACAGAAAGTGAGAAATCACTCCCCAGGGGGTATGGCGATCCCGCAATCCCTTCCCCTCCATTGTCCTCTCAGGATCTTGGGCATGCGCACAAGCGCGCCCGGCGTGAGTTTAAGGCACCAGGTCCAGGACTTGAACCACAGTCAACTACACGGCAGTTCAGCAACATAGCCATTACGCTAACTGCTGGTCCCTGTGTATCTATCTTTCTCTGGTCAAATTAAAAGAAGAAATGAATGAGTAAATAAAATAAATAATTCTTTCTAAAAATTTACTAAGACCAACATGCTGAGGGCAATGACATTTGGAGATTATTATGTAACCTGAACCAGGCTAATGAATCAAAGAGCACAGTGCTCCCCCGACTGGAAAGAGCTAAGAATCAGTTAGGAAGTTACTTAAGCCAACCCACTGTTCCTTTGATAACCCTCAAAGGAGCACACTGCACACTACACAGCACAGCCCCAACACTCCAAAATACCGGGACTCCCTGGGAGCCCCAGTCTCAAAACCACATTCGGGGAAAAAAAGGCTATCCTCTCCCCATTCTCACTCTGTCCCTGTCTGTTCAAATAAATAAATAAATAAAGTTAAATAATTCTTAAAAAAAAAAAAAAAAGAAAGAAAGAGGATATATCTGAAGAATCCTTTATCACTAAATGTATTCAGACCCACATCAAAACAATATTGTTAGACTTTAATTTACTCAGTTCAAATCACTGTAAGGGTAATTTCAACATGAGGAGTAAATAATGTGGGGCCAGAAGATGGCATGGGGGTTAAGGTGCTGGACTCCCACATGGCCAACTGTGGTTCAAGCCCGGGACCTGGCAGCTTAAAAATTATGCCAGGTGCGTATGCTTGCATGCCCAAAATGCCAGAGAAAGAATGGAGGAGAGTTCACTGTGGGGCGGCCAGCCCCCGTGAGGGGGTCATTTCTCATTTTCCCTCTGTCTCTCCAGTGAGTGTACGCACCTTATGGCAAAAAACTTTAAAAACAATAATTTTTTAAAAGAATGAAATGTAAAACATAAGGGTCAGCCAGTGGCATGGTGGTTAAGGTGGCTGGATCCCACATGTCCAACTGCACAGTTCAAGTCCCTGCTCGCTCAAAATCCTGAGGGGAGAATGGAGGAGACTGCAGAGTAAGCAATCCAACCTAGGGAGTGATTTCCCACTTTCTCTCTCCCTCCCTCAATCCATCCTTCCATCCAGCAAGCACACATACCCCATAGCAAAAACAAAAAACAGTTCTAACTGAAAATCCCTTGACGCCCACTAATTTTCTGAGTTAACCATGTCTGAAGTCCAAGTCCCGGGGCTCTTCTGCCTACCAGAAAAAGGCTGCCTTCGAAATGCCTGCAGGAGGTGCCTCTCAGACTCCTCCTTCAACCACCCTGCACAGGTACCAGGCGAGTGCAAAGGAGGGCACGTCAGGGCCAAGCAAGGACAGAGTACGGCACGGCCCACAATCTGAACAAGAACTTCATAGAATCTTGGGGCCACTAGGTGGCATGACTGTTAGAATGCTAGGCTCCCACATGGCTGACTGTGGTTCGAGTCCTGGACCTGGTAGCTTACTTTCTCTCTTTCTCTGTTCAGAATAATGAGGATAAATAAAATTAATTTTTTTTTTTTAAAGAATGTAGAGTCTTACTGACATGCTATCTATATCCCCTAAGAATCTGGGTTTGTTTTTTGTTTGTTTTTGTTTTTTTTTGAGAGGTTTCTGCTATGAGGCACATGCACTCGCCAGAAAGACAGAGACAGAAAGTGAGAAATCACCCCCAAGGGGGGATGGCCACGCTGCAATCCCTTCTCCTCCATTCTCCACTCAGGATCTTGGACATGCACGCACACGCGTCCAAGTCTGAGACTCGAATCTCAGTCGACTACATGGGAGCTCAATGACATAGCCATTACGCCGTCTTCTGGTCCCAAGAATCTGTTTTTCAAGATTTATTTAGGAGCCTGCAGGTGGCTTAGTGGTTAAGGTGTTAGAAACTCACGGGGCATGGGTACATGTGTGCCCAAAATCCCAGAAGGAGACTGGAGAAGGGAATGCAGCAAGGCCATCCCTGCCAGGGAGACTTCTCATTTTCTATGTCTCTGTGTGTCTGTCTCTGGCAAGCACTCACAACCTACAGCAAAAATCTCTCTTTAAAAAACCACAAAGGAGTGGGCCTGGCAGGTGGTGTGGTGGTTAAGGGCGCTGGACTCCCACATGGCCGACCTTGGTTTGAGCTCTGGACCCACCAGCTTAAAAGTCGCACCAGGCAAGCGTGCATGCCCCAGATCCTAAGAGGAGAATGGAGGAGAAGGGACTGCGACATGGTCATGCCCCCTGGGCGATGATTTCCTGTTTTCTGCCTCTCTGACGAGCATACGTGCCCTATAGCAAAATTCTCTCTCAAGAAAAAAAAAAAAGAGAGAAAAGTATTTAATTTTATTTATTTATACACACACATGCAGACTTTTTTTTTTTAATACCAAAGAGAGAGAGAAAGCAAGTCGCCAGGTTTAGAACTCAAACTGCGGTTAGCCATATGGAAGTCCAGTGCTCTAACCACCATGCAACTTGCCAGCCTCCCCTAGGAATCTTAACTGTTTGCACTCACACTATCAAAAAACACCATTAAAATTATTGTTTTATATCACAAAATTTTTAAAGAATTATTTAAATTTATTTACTCATTCATTTATTTTTAATTTGACCAAAGAGAGAAACAGAGAGAGAGAAAGGGAAAGTGAGAAAGCAAGCCACCAGGTCCAGGACTCGAACTGTGGTGGGTCATGTGGGAATGTCCAGCACCCTAACCACCAGGCCACCTAACCACCACGCCACCTGCTGGTCCCAATATCACGTATTTTTAAACGTAAGAACTGATACTGGGGCTAACAGGTGGCATGGTGGGTGGGGCACGGGACTCCCACATGCCTGATCCATGGTTCAAGTCCCAGACCTGGAGGCTTGCTTTTTCTCAGTTTCCCCACCTCTCTCTAATAACTATAACAAGTTTTTTTTTTTTAAGATAATAATAAATCCTTTACAAAAAAAATAAGTAACTTAGAGCTGTTTTAGGTCATAAATGGTACACTGTTACATACATACAACAGTCTTGAAATGCTTTCTAAAAACTGTAAATTTATGGAACCAGCAGTTGTCATAATGTCACTGGACTCCCATGTAGTTGACCACAGTCTGAGTCCTGGGCCCAGTGGCTTAAACTCACACCGGGCGCGTGTGCGCCCAAGATCCCAAGAGGAGAATGGAGGAGAAAGGGTTGCAGCATGGCCATCCCCCCTGGGGGGAGATTTCTCGCTTTCTATTTCTCTGTCTCTCTTTCTGGCGAGCGCACGCACCCTATAGCAAAAACATCTCAAAAAAAAAAAAAAAAAAAAAACTGTAAATTAGCCTCAAAGTTAAATGCTGTCCTCTGAGAGTACAAGGTGTCAGGGTTTGTTACTCTGGTGCCGACAGCTGCAAAGGCCTTGACATAGGAGCTGTGAGCACTGTACCCAGTGGGTGCATTGAGAAGGTAAGGGCATCCACCGGAAACACAGTGAACGGGCTGTGAAGTGACTTCGAGACCTGGGTCCCTGCGTGGACACAGAGCTTTGTACCCAGCTCAGTCCAGGGCCTTGATCACATTTCTCACTAGAGCAGGGTGTTTCTTGGCAATCCAAAATCGACAATTTTCACCAGGAATATAAGGAAACCAAGAGGTGACAGCAGAAAACATGCACCGTGCAGGGCTATGTGACCACCACAGCACTCTCACAAGTCCAGCACTGAGCCTCAGAGAGATGCCTCCCAACAACTGTCCAGTACGGGCAAGCAGAGCGCCAGCTAAGGCTTGGAGCACGACAATGGCCCTGCTGCTCTGACGCTGGACCTTCCCACGGAAAGTCCCATCAGTGCCTTTTCCCTATCACCATATCACCAAGCTGCTTCTGAGCAGCACAGGAGTGACCACGACTGAACCTGGACGGGCAGGCCGTGTCTGTGCCAGGCTCGGACAAGGGCCCGCTCGCTGTCTTCGGCCTTTGCTTTCCAATGTCTCCTCCCAGCCTTTGAAACCTGCCACCTGCCCTCTAACAGTCTCCACTCCGTTCTGTACCACCTGCCGGCTGCCATTCTCTGTCTCATCCTCTGCACTCTCTCTCTCTCTCTTTCAGGTCTCCTGTCTTCCTCTCTCTCTCCACTCTCCTCATCTCGCAAGGCAGACTCTCTCGTCTCTACAAAGAGTAACTCCTTTTCTCATCACTGGCTACCCTCTCCTCCCTCTGGTGAAATGAGAAAGGAGCTTCGCTTTCTGAAGATTTCTTTGCTAGTCCAGAAACCCCACTTGAAACGACCCATGCCCAGCCAACTGGACAAGCCACCTCATCGTGGGAACTGCCGTGTGCTATTCAGAGTGTATCTGTTCACAGCGAGCGCTGTATCTGGTACAGCAGGTACCAAGCATGCTCTCCAGACAGAATTCTTCCTAGGATGAGAAACTGCATTTCGTATGCTGTGATAATGTTCAATGAAGGAATGTAAAATAAATAAGCAATAAGAACCAGGAACGAAAAATTCTTCTAGGAAAAAAATCTTACGATCAGA